GTAAATAACTAGCCAAAACCATTAAAATATTCAAATGAACAAAAGGTTAAAGAATTCAATGCAATTTTACAGCAGTTGAACTAGTTCTTGATGATTAATTGAACTTCTTCGCTAATTAATTGTATTCATCATGATATTATTAATTAACAGGAATATGATAGATAGGAAAAAATGGGAAAAGGGGAATGTTAGTAGAAAGCTAGGGTAAATATTTTGGACCGCATGGATATATTATGTAAAAAGTTTTGAGTGGGTAATTAGTTTGGCCCAAATGGGCATTTTGTGTAGATTTTCCTTTTAATAACTAAACATCTTCGTATAAATAAAACAACTTAAACTTCAAAACCTCTATATATTTAGGATTTGTTATGAAATAATAAAAGAAGAAGAAAGAAGAGTATTGCAGAGAAAAGTAGAGAGAGAAAATTCTTATTGATTTGGGATGAGTTACAATGGAACAGAACCCTCTATTTATAGGGAGAGGGTGACTTAGCCACCAAGTAATAAACCCTAGAATCTCTCTAAATATAGACATTCACCATAAATAAAATTCTATTTATAACACTGCCCCTTGAATGTCTATTCAACAGATAATGTGCCTCGTTAAAACCTTGACTAAAATAAAACCCAGTGGGGAAAAAAATTCTAGAGAAGGAAAAAGAGTACACATATCTAACAATACGCCTTTTGGTTGCCTCGTTAAAAATCTTGCAAGGAAAAGCCAGTGGGACAAAACCTTGTAGGGAAAAAGAGTACAACGCGTATTAACTCCCCCTCATGAGAGCATCACTTCACATCCTTAAGCATTTGCATTCCAATCTTGTGCACCATCTTCAAAAGATCTTTGGTAGATATTTGACAAACAAATCAGCCATATTAACTTGAATGAATATATTGCACCTTGAAGTCATCATTCTTGATAGAGATATAATGTCTTCATAAATATCGTAGAATGGCTCTTCAATATCTCTATGGAGGTATTCTCGCTATCACATTATCATGCTTATAGTTATAGCAAGATACATATATGCACAAATTGCAATGAGGATGTGGTACTTCAAGATCAAGAATTGTATATGCTTCAAGCAATTTAAATCTTTTAAGGGTCTCATAAGTTAAGCCATATAAGTCATATAATAGACTTTAATTAGATGCATATCAAGGTTTCATGTCATGCTAGACAAATAAGATATCGAAAACTGATTGCACATATCATTGGCTTTATACTTTCAAGTATTTGAACTACATGTTCAAAACTACATGTCTTTCATATGAATTCAAATTATACTTGAATTGTGGCTCTTCCATTTGGCCAATATTTTTGTGTCTATATTCGATAGACTTAAGATCCTCATCTATCTTAGCGCTATGATAGATGTCGTCGACAAATATTTTATATCGGTTCCAACCTCCTTATTTTTCATAAAGACATAACATAGAGATCTCTTCATTCATATATTCAGGTACCTGAATCTCTCATGAGATTTTATGAAGTGTTATATCATGTGATCTTCTAGATCACTTGCCTCCTTTATTATGATCATTTTGATCATTTGCTCATCTTCTTTATCAAGAAGTTTATTTGAAACCGATTTGTCTATATGCTTTAAGCGTACCATAGATTTTGTCCTTCTAGGACTTAATAGGAGCATTTGCAATGAGAATATAGTTACTTTCCTTGGGTCAGCAAATGCGTCTGGCATGCTTTGCAATATATTGCAACTGAATTATCCTTTTATGAACTTCAAGTTTATATTATTTTATTCGAGGATCTAGATGTAAAAATGATAATTCATTCCGCGTAACTTTTTCTCAAATGTTATCATCTCTCTCCATCATGTTAGAAAAACTAACTTGCTTCATCATCTTTGTGCGTTTGGTGTTAATCAAAATATACACCGAATAATAATAATAATAAGATGGAATTATTTGGTTCCTGACCCTGAACCACTCGTGAGGGGAGAATGTAATATACTTTCGTGTATAACCTATATCAAACTGATATAGATAACTTTGCTCTCATAAGCAATAGTTTAGCTATTAAGTGGAGGCACTCAATAAATCATTTTGCTAAACGAACTGTGATGTAAACCAACTTATCAAGATGAACTTCTTGAATAAAAAATCTGGAAATTATGCTCGTAATTAAATTATTGAGCAAGTTACCTCGCAATACACCATGTTGCGGGTTAATAATAATCGCACATGTAACCATCTCATATATGCATCTTATGTGGTATACATGGCAGGTGAATGAGCCCATATTCACCTTTGATATTTCCAGCATTCATGGGATTCAATCCCAATTTTAGTTGATCTATTAATTAATGAGAACAAGCAATATAAGAGAATTCGTAAAGAACTTTCTAGTTCTTTAATATTTACCCATGTGAATTCTCTATTATTTTTGCACATCATACATGAATTAACATGGCTAAACCAAGTATGCCAACTGGATAAATTATCAATATTGATAAACTTCAGGTTTACACCATGATGTGTGCAATTATTATGCAGTACAAATTGGAGAATAAAGCGGGTAGCTTTTCACATACATATTACTCCGCTACAAGATGTAGTAATAGAAGATATTAAATCTTTCCTTTATTTATAGTCTCAATATAATCAACCGCTTTCGCGTATACTTTGGAAACTGAATAAGTTTCTCTGAGACTTACTACAACACAATACCTTATTGGTAATTAATTGTGTTTCTCCAAAATAGTATAATTGGCTCTTGCAGAGTTCTCAATTAATTTTGTAGTACCACATATTCATCAACACCCATATGGTGAATATCTCTTTTAAAGAGAAAGTTATACCATTATGGTTATGGTCAAAATTATATGCAAGATCTATTTCTTGCATTACCGTTGACTTTTAATAATCATAATGCCAAAATATTTTGGCGTACAATAGGTACGTGACCAATGACCATTCATGCTATATAATGATATTATTTTCTTATATCATCTCAAACCTCCTTCTAGAGGTGAGTGTGGTATATACCACTAGCACGCTCATATTCTTCCAAAAATGAATATGTATTCTTAAATCAGATGTTGTCACATTCACATCATGAATGGACCATAATCATCTATATGTGCTTTACAAATCTCATGTCAAATCGATGACAAATATTTTTCACAGAGTGAAAGATTATTTTGAGAATCCTTATTATTCTCATTATAACAATGATGACGATTATAATTTCGTCCATTGCCACGTCCACATCGATTGAAACATTCATAGTGATAATTTTGTCTTCTTTCAGACTTATCACATACTGCTATCACATTCTCTTAAGGGAATGAGAATGGAGCAAATTCAATGGGACGGGTTTCCACTTTTTGTGCTCATAATCATACATGAATTTGATCATGGCAAGACATAGAAACTTTTACCACTTCAGGTGGTTATAATTTCTTACAAACTCCATTAGAGTTACAATCAAACTTTGTTGTCTTTGCTTGTATATAAAATCAAAGTATAGAATAAAAGAGAAAAATACGATAAAATACTTACCTTAAATCCAGAATTTAATCATGAAGGAAGTTCATGGAATAATTGACCATCATTATGCTCAATCGCAAAGCTTCTACTCAATTGGTTAGAGTCTCGTGCTGATAACGTGTTATGAAATAATAAAAGAAGAAGAAAGAAGAGTATTGCAGAGAAAAGTAGAGAGAGAGAGAATTCTTATTGATTTGGGATGAGTTACAATGGAACAGAACCCTCTATTTATAGGGAGAGGGTGACTTAGCCACCAAGTAATAAACCCTAGAATCTCTCTAAATATAGACATTCACCATAAATAAAATTCTATTTATAACAGGATTTAAATTATACACATTGATGGTATAAAGATTGTCTTACATATAAGTGTATTTTGATCTATTATAGGACCTATTTTTTTTCCTTTTTTTAAGGTGATCAATTAATGTTTGTAGAGAGTATCACGTGCAGTTGCCTTAATTTTAAGGAAAATTTTCTTTACAATATATTTTTACTTACTATATGAATGTTTCTTTTTTTCGAAGGTTACTAATTAATGTTTGTATAGTGCATCACCTGTAATTTCCTTTTAAGTGACTAAATAGACACTATAAATAATCCCACCCCTCTAAGAGTTTTGCACCCTCAACCTAAGTTTTTTTTTCTTCTTGTTTGAAGTTTCACTTTGAATAAATACAACGTAATGACAATGAGGAGCATTAATGGTGAACGCAGCCTTCTCGTTCTGGTTTTCTTGCTTGTTTCATTCTCTGGTAAAAATATATGAGCTCTCTTCTTTCCTTCTCCCTTTCATTGATCTCTTCTCCTTTTCTTTTTTTTTTTCTTTTTTTTTTTAAATGCTTTTGATATTCTTTAATAGAAAAGAAAAGTGGAGTTGGAGAATTCTAGTAGGATCTTCTTTTGGAAAAGAACCTTGAACCTAGTAAAATTTTACACTTCTATAAATTGAGGATTCCTACTTCTCAAAAAAGCAACAGCAATATCCATAATGTAGTTTTTTAGACAATTTTTGTAGGGAGAGATTTTATTCTCTCAATAAGTTCTTTTTCTTTTATAGTAGATTAATGCAGGTCGATTAATCCAAATCATATACCTAGTTTAGTATATTTTTCTTTTGTACTCTGATTTATCGTCCACCAAGTTTTCGTTGTTAGCTTCTGCATGCACCATATTATTTCGATTTGGAGCAACGGTAAAGTTGTCATTGTGTGACCTAAAGGTTACAGTTTCGAGCCGCGGAAGTAGCTATTAGAGTAGGTTGTCTACATCACACCCTTGGAAATGTGGCCCTTTTCCCGACCCTGCATGAACGCGGGATACCTTGTCCATCGGGCTACCCTTGCCCTTCTTTTGGTTAACTTTTTGAGAATTTTTCCTTCTTGGGGATTGACTCCAATTACTCTTAAATATTTTGAATGTTCAATGTTGATCAAAATCTTGAAGCAAGTATTCTTATTAATATCTTCTGATGGTACTGAATGCAGTGATGCAAGTCAACCATGCATTGGAACCAGTTGAGGAAAGTAGTACTACTCAAGAAAGACATGCTGGTGAGTACAGAATAGGGACAACATCATGTTCAAAAGAAAACATCATAGTAAACCAAGGTCCCTCAGGGACACTTCCGAATGGCATTCCAACATACACAGTCATCGTCTCGAACGCGTGCGTCTTTGAAAGTTGTAGCAGCATCTCCAACATTCACCTGAGTTGTGGCTGGTTCAGTTCAGCAAGACTCATAAATCCTACAATTTTCAGAAGACTTGGTTATAATGACTGTCTTGTCAAAGACGGAAAACCTTTAACATCTGGACAAACAATCACTTTTCAATATGCCAATACCTTCAGTTATCCTCTTTCAGTTTCTTCCGTTACCTGCAGCTAAATATGGTTTGGTAGAATCTATTAGTATGAGCATATATGCTCGAATAAGGTTAGGTAGATATGGAAATTTTATATAGTCGCTCTCAATTTATCACCAATTGAAGTGTAGTTAGTTGATTGATTTATAGCAGGGGAATAGAAGTTTTATATAATTGAATTTCAATTGGTCTCTAATTTAAGTGTAGATTGATTAATTGCACCTGGCTATGCTATGGTTTGCTGTAGCGAAAACGATCTGTTGATGTTACTTCAAACATATACGAGATTTGAGATTTATCATATATTTTCTTAAGCAAACAGCTAAGAATAGGGTATCACAACTTCCAACTGCTAAAGGACGGACATTAGAAATTTGGCTGATTGACGTTTATCAAATTCCCTTTAAAATAGGGAAGTAGAGAAGCTACAGAAATATGAAGAAACAAACTATATCGAGTGCCATAAAGTATACAATGAAGATTTCTGTAGCAAACAACCAAAATTGTTCATTTATTTTAATTTTGAGACAAAATTACACACTACAAACGAAACGTACTCGTTGCAGACTCGCTAAATCTATCTAGCACCAGTAGCTCCTTCATATATCCTCAGGTCCATTGATATCCTGGAAATTTATGTAACGGCGTTAAAAACTCGAGTTAAATCTAAATCTGCTAGCTCCATTAGGAGTTTAGATCACTGTATTACCTTGTTTGCAATCACAGCACCATCTGGAATTTCTAGCTTCACTCCGGATTTGGCAGCAACAGTTACTTTCCCCTGGAAAATCAGAAGATGTAAGATACTACTAGATTCTGAAATACCACAAACAAAAATAGAATAACATAAGTGAAACAGAACAAGGATTTGCTAATTACCTTCAGAGTAACTCCAGATCCAAACCATACATCACCTGTCACCTTTAAGCTATCTAGCTCAATGATGCTGGGAATAGACTTGAAACGACCTAAGAAGTTGGCCACCTAAGAAGAAAAGATAGTAACTGCATTCAGCCAAATGTCACATAATTCTACAGCACTAATCTACTTGAGGAGTTGATGTTAACCTTCTTGAATTCAGGTCCCAACTCGATAGCTGGGTTTGATGGATTAGACCTGGCCGGGTTCCGGATGACATAGCCTTCATCAGTCAAGGTGTAAAGATCAGACTGCAAAGACAAAAAGATGAATGAGCACACTACATATCACTTAAGCTAATTGGATTGGATATTATCAGAAATCAACATAATCCCAGGTTGCAATTAACCTGGACAAGCAGCAGATCTGAAGTTGCTTTCACCGGAAGGAAACGAGATCGAGGAACATTAACACCAATAGCCCGGTCAAAGAACTGGTTGAATAAAATGGTAATGAGTAATCTTGATAGGGGAAAATATCACCAAGAAAGAGAAACCAAGAATACAAAAAATATCAAGACTTTAAGGTATGAGTTTGGGTATTTAAAGGTACAGAGTTAAGGTTGCATACCTTAATTGCAGCACCAGCAGCAGTTTCAAGTTGAAGAACCTTGACCCCGTCCACTTCCTGACAATAAATATTGGCTACCTCAGGCACTTATACAAAGCGTTGCAACCTTGGACACATGCTAAACAAGCAGAAACTGATACCTTAGGGTTGGGAATAATCTCCATCTTGAGTGCATCTGCTTCTACAAGTCTTTTAATAGCATTCAGGTTCACCCACCTGCACAACAGTAAGGATTCAGTCAGCACATGCTTCATTGACAAGGAAGTGCCCAATATAAAGCTTAGAGTAGGCCATAAGACTATTCCGACTTACAAGTTGTTGGTGTTGAAAATTTTAAATTTTTCAATTGACTTGAATTCGTTGACCTGCATCAAGCAAGTGAAAGTTGAACATCAAACTACAGAAGGATCACATACATCTTCATGTTAAAAGGATAAAACTAAAATTGGGGAAGAAAAAGCAATGCAACCTCAACGTAATCTTGTTGAATAATACCACCAAATATTGATCTAGAAGAATAAATGAACATTTGCAACTTGACACTAGCTACATAACGGAGATGTAGATGGATATATACATTTCAATAATAGATTCTAGTCCAATTAGAGAACTGTGGACTAAAAGTAATATATTAGAAACCTAAGTCACTTTCCATTTCCGCCTTTTAATAACTATTACATATAAACCAGCAAAAGGAAAAACGAGGAAGAAACAGAAGATACAACTCACATGTTCATCAGGCACTTGTGCTATTTCCAAAAGCTGCAGCACCACACAAAAGACAAGTTTAATAAGCAATTTGTGCAAAAATAACTCACAGATATGATGCAAAAGACATGCAAGCAGTGCCACAACTACCCTGAGTCTCTCAGGAAGCGAGAAAATTACAATGAGTGCCAGCACATCTGAAGGACTTTCTATATGCAATTCAAACTGATTTGTTTTTAAAAGATCTCAGCTATGATTAGCTACAGGAGAAGATTGAAAAAACTGATTAATTATGATTGGAGGCAGCAAATTAAGTTAGTTTAATTAGATGTGTACTTATGGGTGCAGCTTAAATCACCAAGACTAAAGACCAAATTCACCTTCTTAAGTTCGACCTTAAGATTCTTAGCATTAAACCATTGTACTGCTAAAATAATGGGTCCAGATCTACTATTTGTTGCAATTTGTGTATTTTCCATTTAAAAAATTTATGTTCTGCATCAAAACTATTGGTCTCCAATGAACCCAATGCCGCAACGCTGCAGCCGTCTCTGCATAGGATTAGTGCCTAACAGCAAGATCCAGCCTCAGAGTTGGCGTGCGCTTTGCCTTGAGTAAGATCTCATACAAGGACATCACCAAACTATATTTAACTTTGCGGTTACGGACTTTTCATGGTGCCATGTCCAATCTTGGGAGGTAGCAATATGAAGGGTTCCTTTCCTTTTCCTAGCCACTATACTTTTCATTTTTTATCTTCTTTTTTCTGAAAATTGGTGAAATTTCTTTCTTTCAGGCCCTACTTTCAAAGGTTGGGTTCTCTGTGGGGGGTCGATCCCTCGCCTTATTTTGTAGTAGGGCGACTGGATAGTAGGGGGGCGCAAGTCTCATTCTACTTGGGATTCTGTATTTGGAGATCGAGAGCGGGGTCCGGAATAGCATGATGTCTTCGTCTGGAGCTTCCGGACCATCAAGCTCTTCGGGGCGACCGCCTATCGATTTGAATTTCCCTACAGAAAGCGTGACCCCAGACCTTCTCCTGTAGACATACTTTAGCTGTTCATTTGAAGTACACCAGATCTAGGTAGTTTAGCTATACTTGTTTGTAGGTTGTTATCGAAACATCTATGTGCTCCAGATGATAGATGGACCGGAATTGCTTCTGAGCTTCAAAGATAAGAATCTAAAACCAAAGATAAATTGCATTACCTGTACTTTTCCTTCATATGAGATTAGGGTGCCACCTTTGACATCAGCTAAAGTTTTGGGTGTAACCTGCAATACTCATCAAGCTGTAACATCGCAGAAACTATATACTATTTTCACCTAGGAAGATGCAGTTCTAAAAGAACAATATCAAGTCAATACCTCCATGCAATACTCGTTCTTGTTTTGGATCAAATGATTTAGGATTTCTGCAATGCAAAATTAAGGAAAAGACAATGCACTTTACATGACAATTGAGAACAGCTTTTCTGAGAATATCTTTCATGATTGAGATGTCATTAAATACATACAAAAGAACTGTAGCGTAATTAACAATGAAAACTCATAGCAAGGATACTCAAATCAACAATGGCACCCAAGTTATCTGAGTTCGCAACAAAGACATATTCCTTGCCCTGTGGAAGATTGAAAGATATAATAATTAATAGGCAACATTTCAAGCAAACAGTAAATGTAAAAAAGGCCGCCAGTATGCGTGCCATAATCAGAAGACGGCAATAATTATGAGCACCAAAACCTTTGCTAGTAGTGCATCAAGCTTTCCACTATTCGCCAAAGCAGGGAAAACATCACCATGACCTGGAGGGTACCTGTATAGGAGAACAATGTACTTGAGCCAAGTGAATGTAGCCATATCTACAAAAGAAAGGGACTAGAAAAGATGGACGAGGAATCATAATTCTTAAAGTCTACTTGACTGGAAACATTGGTTGGATTAAGCAATTCAGCAAGCTAAACCAATCAAACAGCCAGCTTTACCAAACAATTTTGTCTCATAACATAAATTACCTGCATTTCGGTTATCATTCTTGAAGCAGAAAAAATAGTAGAATATATAACCAATGAAACAAGAAATTACATACAAAGCTAAATGAAGATAAATTTTCATTATAAGTTACAGGTTGTTCAGATCAACAGAACAATGAAACCCCAATTGCTAGCAAGAGAAAGAGGAAAATCATAATTTCAATGATTTTGATTTAGATCTAACTATTTTAAAATAAAGTGATTTATATCTAACTTATCTCAGATTAAAGGAAGAGAGGATGAAACTTTATTATTATAACCCAACAGGGAAAATTTACATGATCCAGAGTGTGAATTAAGATTCAATTTCAAAAGGCCATCATCAGGGAAACCACAACTTAAACTGTCAATTACCATCCATCTTTTCCAGAATTGCCTTTGCATGGAAGTGGGGAGAAATCTTCGGTAACCAAGCGAGGGTACTGGCTCTGTACATAGTTAACAGAAAACATTAATTTATCTTTTCAAATCCAAAACTTTTCAAGCGCAGATACAAGCTGGTTGATACTTAACATTAATTCACACTAACCTGATTGAACGTATGAATCTCAATGTTTGAGTTTGCATATTTTTCTACAATCTACATAGAGAATGAAACGGCAAGAAGTCAGCACTTGCGCTCAGCCAAACAGGAAAAAAGTTAATCGTGGAAGAGTAGACATCAAAGTTAAATTATTTCACCTTCAGTGTATCATCATGAGTGTTGAACGAATTCATCAAAAGAAGGGGAACAGTGCATCCATACTTGGCATTGAGGGCCTACAGAGCAAGAGTTAATTGGTGAACAAGCAAAAGTGGAACATCATAAAGGATAAAATGATCCATTAAGACACAGGTACCTCAATTTGCTTGACAATCAAGTCGAGGAATGTCAAACCATTACGAACTTCAATAACTGATCTGCATCAAAGAAACACAACCTTCAGATTTCCTGCATCTATGAGCTCGACAAAATTGAAACTACAGTATTTCTTTTACAAGGAGAACATCAAATCTGTATGCAATTGCAAGTTTCTGAAAGCTAATATTTCTGAAAATGGAATGAAAGCCAGGTCTTCCTAAATTTTATTTTTTTCTCTAGCTTCCAGCGGTATAAAATACTTGAAAAGATATACAGGGTAAAAGGAGAAACACATTTGCATGGAGTCACATTATCCACAGCATGATAAAGGAGGATAGATCAGAGCCTCCAACAGGGGAGCTGAATGATTGAATAAGATCTAATTACACGCAGTCACAAACCATCTTACTTTTATTGCGACCTGAGTTCTTAACACTTAAAAGGGAGGAATCTTAGTAGTGCAGTTGGTACTTGGTTGGCTACCAGAATTTTCACTTGTTGGTGAGGGTTCGATTCCCCATCTTGTAATCCCATCCCCGATTTCCTCTTCCCCTTCCCCTCCCCCCCTATATATAGTTAAAGAAACACTTAAAAGGCATCACAAGCAGCAAATTTGTATAGTAGGTGTGTCTATTTTATAGCATTCCAACTCCGCCAAATTCTAGAGGTAACAAGATCATGTAAGTTTATGGTTAAAGATACCCTCGACCAAAAAACACAACTTAAATTACTATCTCATCTGATGACATCATGCATTAAGAAACAGAGTGTAAAAGTAAAAATAGATAGTCACTTAAGTATATTGCTTTATAGTCTCCCCAGATGAATGCACTAAAGCAGAGTATCATGTGGTAGCATCAACCAGCTCACACGATTCAATTTCTGGGATCCAGACAGATATGTCTATAAAGCAGCATCAGATGAAAAAAGACAGATAAGGTTGAGTACGGCACTCTGTCTATAAAGCAGAATCAGATGAAAAAAGACATAGAAGGTTGAGTACGGCACTCTGTATCCACCAACAGTGTTCACTTTCAAACAATTTGTTGCTGTTAAAAGGTGGGTTAACACCAATAAAGCAAGCTAAATGAAGTCACATTTGCAATATACTTTGTTTCCCAATATCATTCTTTTTATGACGGTGGTGTTCCGGTCAGCTAACACGCAACTCAACTATTCCACCGGATACCTGCTATCTCCCACCAGCACAGGCAAGTAACTCTGCCCACCAAGGCTTATGTAGATGGAAAAAAATTACCTCTTCTGAGATTTGAACATGAGACCTAAAATTGGCTAGAAAAAAGCAGTAAATACATACTTAGGGCCAGTGCATCCCATGGTTGTGCCCAAGCCTCCATTGAGCTTCAGGACAACAAGTTTGTCCAAAAGCTTCTTGGTCTCCGCAGGATCTGCATTGATCAAGATAGTCAAGCACCTCGCTAAAAACATTCAAATGGATCTAGTCTGAAACAATCCATGCACCATGCTCATACTTGTTGATAATGACACGATAGATGACAAAAAGTTAAATTTTAGAAAAATACAAATACCTTCAGAAAGAGGTGCTAAATTGTCATAAGGCACCACTATCTCGTCAGTTGGCGTCTGGATCTTACTCCATTCAACGTGCTGCGCTTCTCCACTGCGATTTCGAAATTCCACAACAGATCAACAGTCAATAGCAAAAATAAAACATAAGAAAATCAGAAATGCACAGTGATTCGCGTTTTGAAAACTACAAACTAACTTGATCAGCAAAAGGTCGAAAATTGATGCAAATGTTCCAAGGAGAAGAAAAAATAGTTCTATGCTACAAAGCATCAACTGATCCAGAACAATCACAAATTACGTAAATATTCAACAGTAAAGGCACACAAGAAACTGATAAATTACAATTCTAATCACTTTCGAACCTCTGACTTTCTCTCTCATTCGCGGAGCGAAGAAAGCGGGCTTTGCCCCAGCTACCGCTATCCTTGGGAAACCAAAAGAGCTACCCGGAGTTGGAGGAAAACGAAGTCTTTCCTAATCTATCTCATAGTATTACTGAAAGAATATGGGCTCTTCTCGAAGGAGATGCCGCTAATTCTCCTTCCTTAGGTGTCAAAATGCCATGACAGATCAACAGTCAATAAGCAAAATTAAAATCAGAAACGCCAACTGATTCGATTGCAAGCTGTAAACTAACTTGATATGTGCAAAGCTCAGAAATTTATGTAAATTTTCCAAAATTTAGAAGAAAAAATGTACACTTCAAAGCATCAAATGATCCACAACAATCAAAAATAGCGTAAATATTCAGATTTCAAAACATCAATGTGATAAATTACAGTTCTCATCACTATTCTAAATTACCAATTCATGTAAATTTATGCAAATTTTCCACTGAGTACAAAAAGACATACACTACAAATCATCAACTGATTCACAACAATTAGAAATCACGTAAATATTCAGCATTTAATCACATCAAAAAATCTAATAAAATAACAATTCTAATCACTATTCTTAATTAGTAAATCAGAGTAATAATAACTCCAACTGTACCTCAGGTAGCGACCGACAAGGTTAATAAATCCAGATTTCTCATTTTCACTGCCAAAAAAAAAAATCAAAAAATCATCAGCATCTGGATCCAGAACAAAATGAAGCAACAGAACTATAAAAAACAATGTAAGAACAGCACAGAAATGTAAAATTCGCGAAGAAAAATGGAGAATTAAGTACCTGATTTGGTTAAGGCTGGCGACAGCAGATTTGAGGTTAGCGAGCTTATCGGTATCAACAGGAGAGAGAGTAGCAGTAGCCATAGCTAAGATTGTGTGATCTACACAGAGAGAGAGAGTGAAAGTTCTCGAAGAGTGGGAATCAGAAGAAAATATACAGAGATAAAGAGTGTGTGAAGAGTGAGAGGGAAGGTGAAGGTGTATTTATATGGTGGTGAGAGTGAGAGACTGTGTTGGGGTGGTATTCCAAAACAGGTGGCACGTAATGAGAGCAAACGTCAAAGGGCAAAAAGAGAGTAAAAAAATTTACGTCTAAATCATGAATTAATTTATCGTAATTAAGTAATAAATTAAGATAAAAATATATATTAACATTAGACTTTAATAATAATAATAGTGTATATAAAGATACAAGTCAAATATCTCATAACAGCCTTATTTGTTCCGGATATTTTTGGATGTTATAGCAAAGTGTTGTTATAGAAGCCTAAATGGCACCTATACTTGTGTCACTTTGTCATGCCGGTCCCCAAACTTTACAATTTACCAATTGAACACTTACACTCCTTCAAAGCATGTATAATAAACGCTTATGACAGGAGGTTACAATCTCATCCACGTTGGCTGCCACGTCAAAGAATAACCATGTGTAGATGCCATGTCACATGGTAGATTAAAAATAATTAAAAACAAAAATCAAAATAAAAACAAAATTCAAACATAAAAATCATCTATTCCAATGGGTGTTTTTCCTATTTCCTCTTATCCTTACTACATTGTCTTCTTATTTTATGTTTCTACTATCATATGGATTTTAGATCTAGAACTTTGACCGGAATTTTCGCCGACAGTGATTCTTATATTGTATTGTACCTCGTCGATTGGGAGGTTGGGAGGTCGGTCACTTCACGACAGGTTGTGAAGAGGCCAACATCGGCGAGACTTAGGGTTTTGGAACTGGAGGCGGCGGAGGAGGCCTTGAGGTTTTTTAGGGTTTGGAGGATGACAGAATCGGGTTTTAGCTTGGATTTGAAAGGGAGGGTGTCGGAATCGGAGTCGGAGTTGTGAACTGCTCGCCTTGAGTTTCAGATATAAAATTCTGATTTTGGGTTGGATCACTGTAACTTTTTTTTTCATTTAAAATTTCTGAATGTTTATTAGGCTTCCCTCTATTGAAGAACGTTCTTCTCTGGATGAGCACAAATTTTGATCTTTCTGCCTTTTCTCCTTACAGGAATAACTTTTGTATTAACTCTAAATTGGGTATGATTCAAGCAGCTGAGGATAGAGAATTTTAGTAGTGGTATTGTGTGTGTATTTTTGTATATAATTTCTAATTTATTTCTTTGTGAATCTGATAGATAGGAACAATAAATGTAGAAAGCTGCTCAGTGGTGGTGGGATGTCGGGAAAAATGGAGGATGCGGAGAAGGGGAAGGGGGGATCACGGGAAGAGAAGGGTGGAAAAGATTGGAGGGGTTGGGAAATTTCTTCCTTTTCTTTTTATTTTATTGTCATTACTTTTTTAGTTTAAAATATTTTCTTAGTCAAAACATTACCTTCACTTGCTCTTAAGCGTGTGTAACCACGCACTTGTACAACTTAGTATATCTAATGCCACGTAGGCTTGGTCAATGGTCAGAGGGGTTTAAAATATTAGTTTTAAGCATATATAGGTGCCTATATGAAACTTTGTGAAGTAGGAGGACCGGGATGTCAAACTCGAATAAGTAGAGGTGTCTCTCAGGCTATTCTGCCAAACATAATATGAAAATTGGTTCCGGAAAAAGCTTGGCTTTTATAGTGAAGTGTTGTTATCAGTGGCGAAGCCAGAAATTTCTTCAAGGGTGCTCAAACTTGAAAGAAGAAAAAAGAATTCCCCAACAAAGGGTGTTCAATATATGTTACATGCCTCTAAAATCTAATATTTTACCTATATATACAGTGTAATTTTTTGACGAGTTGATCATCCTTAGAAGAGCATAGCTTCGCCCTTGGTTATTATATATGGATGTTGTTATAGAGGTGTCTGACTGTATATGTTTATGTTCATTAAATTGGAAATATTGAATGCAAATGAATTTTTATCCGAAAAAGATCAATGAAAATTGTAAGAATATAATGGTAAAACTAACGATCAATGTATATATATTTAATCGTTGATCTGAATTAGTGTTTGATTTTGTACATATAAATGTACTATGAATAGAAAGCTTGTAAATAAGATATTTTAAATTAAAGTTCTCTTGTAAGTTTATTTTTTCGGGGAGAGGGAGATGGATTTTGGTAAGAATATGCGGAGGAATAAACTCACTTGGTCAAGAATTTTCGAGGGTAGCTGGGTAGGACATGTGATCATGTTTGTAACGGAGATCTGGAGATTTTATGATGCTTTATTATTATTCTCCTATTTTTTATATTTTTAAATTTCCATTACTGTTTATTGTTCTTTTACTTCGATAACCTTATTATCTGTTGTTAAAATGCCTTTTTTTCCATAGCTTCCACACTTTCATATTTCAACAAGAAAAATGTTGTGACTATTTTTTTTGAACCGACGGTCTATGGAAAACAATTTCTATATCTTCATAAGATAGGGTAAGATTTGTTTATACACTATCCTCCTCATACCCCACTTATGCGATTAATTACGCAAAATATATTTTTATTGTTGTTATTATATTGGGTGATGCATGATTGTTATTGTGTACGGGTAAAGTCGGGTTTTTCCTGATTCCCCGATCAGGAAACAAATAGGATGCACAACTCGACTTGATCACAATCGAGGCCCTGGAACTTCGCATATCGAAACTCGGGAGGACTGAACGACGTATCTGAGATTGGGCACGGTGGGATAACAGACCCAAACCAAATATAGCTTCTGGACCTCGGGAAACACCGAGAACGGTAATGCATGACAAGTAGGGGGCGTAATGTTTGGTCTCAACCGGATATTACAGCGCGAATCCCGTCCAACATCAACCGCGGATCGAGATTCATGGGAAAAAGAAGATTTTCCATTATTTAGACTTGTACTAAGATTGAAATTTTCCTAATATATAAAGAGAAAGGTTTTCTTTATTCTGACACATGGTGACACGCAAATCAAAGCAATAAAAGTTTATTTTTGTGTTCTAGCTATTATTCAAAGTGTTTTTCATCTTGTTCTCTGATTTATTCACGACGAAGCTTATATTAAGGGTTTGATCGAGGATAAAGTCCACCGTTCAATCTAAGATCAAGCTTGACCATCACATTGCGATTGGTCTGATCATTTATTTTATCTCTAACTTATTTATATGTCATTCTTAATCATTCGTATTGAATTAAATTATATATGATTTAAATCGCGTATAAATTTAATTGTTACTCATTTTAGGGATAAATAGTCATGCTAGTAGTATTTTTCTCTAACATACTGCCTCGTGTTCGAAAATTACTAGTCAACCAATTCAGATTAACATCGTGTAGAGTCCATTTAAGAAAGGAAAAAAATCCTTTTTTTTATCGAAAACCTCAAATTAAAGGTTGGAATGTCAAAAAAGTATGAGTATCTTTTAAGTTATTTATCCTTATAATAATTATAGTAATAGACGTGTAGGTTAAGCATAATTGGGACATGTTATCACATCTCACTTTTGGATTGTAAATATGCTGTTCGGAAAGGTGACATGGACCGACTTTCAGGGATAAGGAACATATTACTTTTGTTTAGACATTTGTTAAATATATTAAAATATTTCTATAAAATCTTTGCAATTCTTATAAGGTGCGTGATGATGTTAAAAAGGGTGGAAATGACACCAAGTAGTCACTTTTCAGCATGTTTTTTAAATATATTCACAGTTTATAATGTATTTAAAGATTAGTCAATTTCGCTTAAACTTCAGCATACAAGCGTCGTAGAGTTTAAACCTCAAAATTCAAACTTCAAGACATCGTGTTCTAAAGTTCGAAAATTGTGTCCAGAAGTTCGAATCTTATTTTCCTGAATTTTGAATTAGCAGCTCAAAAATCCAGGACATTAAGTACTGAATTTTCAAATTCAGAATACTTAGTTCTGAAGTTTGGGTATATTGGCTAATCTTTAAATGCATTATAAATTGTGGATATATTTTAAATAGCGGGCTTAAAAGTGACTATTGCTGCACCAACCACTTTAAAAGGAGAGTCCTCCCTACAATTTCTATAATAGCCTAGTTCGTATGAAGCATTAATTTAGACTTGTTATCTTAAAATTAAGACAATTTACATGCTTTAATAGGTTAAAATGATCTAGTGGTATAAAATTTTCTTGAAGTGACAATAAAATTTGTAATCTTAAAAATAAGATATATGTCGTAGGAACTGATGAGGGAATGTTTTATCTCCTTATGTATCTAATCTTTTTGGTATTATCATATATTAGTAATTGTTCATGTCAAGTTACACATTTTTCAAAGGTTTGTTTAAGATAACATGAAAATCTATTCTGAATTAGAATATTTACTCAAATACAAGAGAAAATTTTGGAAAAAGAAAGAAAAGATCAGCGTAGAAGCAGAGCCACTGTTAAAGTTACAGGTTCGCTAAAACCCAGTGTTTTGACTCAAATCCTATAATTATAGTTAGAATTTTTTATATATATATAAAAGAAAATTATTCAGAACCTATAAACTAAAATTCCTGATTCCGTCAATGAATCAACGAGCTTTAAAATTAAAAGAGAATATATGCAAAAGCATGAATTTTTGAAATATTAGGAAGCACAAGATAAGAGTTGATAATTCTAAAAACACTAGGATAACATACGTTTCATGTGGTTGGGAAAAGTTTCATAGCTAAAAAGTTACAAAAATGAAAAAGACAAATCTATCTTAGTTGCTGTCAATAAGAGAGATTTGTCTGTTTTTAACAAATCCTTTGAATTTGACAACGTTGCCACTAGCTGCTGCTAGATTCTTAAATGAATTTCAGTTAATTTTTTAGGTTGGCCAATCAAGCCTAAACCTGATAAAAAAGGTCGAGACTTTTTGGTTCAATTTTTTCTAAAAAGTATGACTAAAGTATTGTTTTTACTTTATATATTGAAACTTTATAATTTCGATAGTTTACGATCACTCGTTCTAAAATCTAAATCTCGTATTATAGATTTTGGAAATTACACCCAATGACTTTGAAAATTGACAGGCAAAACTTAAGGTGTA